CATGTGCCTGTATGTGTATGTGCTTCGTGTGCCTGTGTGTGAGCTATGTGTGCCTGTATGTGTGTGAGCTGCATGTGCCTGTATGTGTATGTGCTGCGTGTGCCTGTGTGTGAGCTGTGTGTGCCTGTATGTGTGTGAGCTTCGTGTGCACGTATACATGTGCATAAGCATGTTGTTTTCCTGTGAGTACCTGCGTGCATTTGTTTCTTGTGGGCGTGTATGAGTGCATGTGTGTCTGTGTGAGCACGGACATGCATAGGCAGACACTAGGTACTGACAATCCCTGTGAGAACTAGCAGCTCAAAAACAGATTTGCGCCATGAGGACGAGGGCTGGCTCTTAGTTGGAGCCAGCACTGAGCCTTTGGTTCTTACTAAAGACAGACAGTGACACTGTCTGCAGGGACAGGAACCAACTCTCCCACTGCCCCTCAACTCTTAGAGGCCTGGGTACCCCAGAATAAGTCTTTTACTCACGACACAGAATGTGAGGCTCAGAGACTCCTACTTCACTGGGGCAGTTGTTAGGGAATGTGCCGAGCCCCACAGCTGAGGACTGGCAGCCCGGGTTCTCAGGGCTCAGTCACAGGCCTGTAGACAGGCACACTTCCTGTCTTTTAGCTGCAGTGACGCTGAGCCTGACAGCAGGGAGCAAGCGTGGGCGGGAAGTGCTCATGTGGAATTCCTATGTGGAGGGGGGAGCTACCAGCGAGCACAGTGGATTCAGGGGCTCCTGCTGGCTTGAACCCCTCAAGTGATCTCTGCAGGTGAAAGCCACCGCAGACCCTCCAGCCTCTGCTATGGAGTGGGGCTCCTGCATGAGACTCTCAGCTGCAAGGACAGCTCCCTCAAACAGAAGGTGACTAATGCAGGGCATCTGATTTTGACTTAAAGACAAAGAATAAACAACCCCGTTTGGAAAGAAGAAAAGCTGTTCAATATAATCCAAACTTCTAGCCTGAAGATTCTTGGTAATACCCTCTGATCCTGTCTCTTTAGAATCCCTGTGTTCCATTTAACAGTAGGCACTGATTAACTAATGTCGGGATCATCTCACTCAGTGTTCAGAAATAGACGTCTGTCCTGGCTGGGAAAACCATCTCCTAATTTGAAGAGAGTTAACCCCTGAGAACACACACACACACATGCCAGCGACTCCAGGAGCTCAGGAGTGTGGGCAGCACCTGCCTCCCTCCGTCTGCCCTGTGGAGCTCCCTCCCTCCTGGCATGGAGCACACACTCCGCAGCCTCATGAAGCTGAGGGCCGTGCGGTCACCAGCCTGGGAGAGGACCAGGCACTTACTGCTATCCGCAGAACTGACGCCTTCACAGAGGTCCATTTGTCCCGCCTTCGGTCTATGACCAGGATGAACCCGATGCCAGCATCTTGCAAGCTGAAAGGAGGACACACTCGTGGTTAGTGTGTGGAGTGAGATGCAGGCTTCCTCTGAGAAAACCTCTCACTGAAACCATCTCCCCTCGCCCTTGGGCCGCTCCCACAACACAGGGTCAGATGTGTGCCCAGAACAGGTCTCAGTAGTGTCTCCACGGTGATTCCCAGACTCGGCTTTCCTCTGCAGCTGGACAGATGTTCCTGGCATGTTGTCTCTCCTCCTGACACCAGCCCCCTGACTCACAGACCCATGAGGGCTTATTTTTCCTGGAGCTCAGACACTTTATATTCTACCATGAGAGCCAGGCCACTTTCCTTTCCTGTGGTCCAGCTGACTGGCCCTCCTAACAAGCTTCATGCCCGCACATCATGTCAATCCTGGCGGCAGAGACACTCATCTCTGTCCATGTTAAAGTGCTCTTGACGGCACCACTGCAACTTTGGGAAAAATCCCCAAGGCTTCAAAGGCTCCCAAGGATCTGCTGGGGATGGGAAATAAGAGGAGCTGCCTGCGACAGCCACACCCATGCTGAAGCTGCATTGGTTGTTGTGTAACTACCCTGCACCCCAGCTGAGCCTCAAGGCAGGAGCTTGAGTCACAGTGTAGATGGGAGACTGCTTTCGACTGTGTGATGCCCGCAGCTGCCACGGCAGCCAATCCACGCAGAAGGCTCTGACTGGAATCACTAAATCCTGAATCCCTGAACATATCTGAGCGAGCCATTTCTGGGCTCACATGGAAATCAGGGTACTACAGAACATGCCTGTGAGGAGCCTCATGCCACCAGCACTGCCTAATCCAGCCAGGGCTTTGCAGCAGACACAGTGAGGGGACAGGGACACACAGCAAGCATCGTGTGGTATGTGGGGCTGGACTCCACACGTTTAGAGAAAGCTGTTCAGTGACGCAGAACACTTCTGGGTAAACATAAACACACACCAGCTTTTGTTCAAAACAGCCTTTCTGCTGTGGCCACGCGAGCACGTTGCACATACAGGAGAATCCAAAAAACCAGTTTCCTGATCTGGCTCAGTTTTTATGGAGTTAAGATATTTTAAGTTACATTTTTATATTTCCTTATTTACTTCTTGGGTATGAACATTTTGTTTTACAAAATTAAAATTACAAGCAAAATACAAGGAACTATACATTTTTTTTATTCATTAAAAATGCATACTGGAAATCCCACCCCTCCCTGAGGAGGACAGACTGGCTTAGGGGTGGTTTTGTTGGGCAGTGAGCTGACCACCCAGGGCTGCTCCTCTGTGGGGACAGTGCTGTTGCTCCTGCCTGGCTGGTGTGTGCTCAGGGTTGGGGCACAGGGATGGGGAAGCAGTTGGCTGAGTCCCTGCCAGGCGCCTGGCCTGGCCTGGCCCTCGTACTGGGAAGGGGATAGCTTTGATGTGGCTTTTCCTTCATTATGTCTTCAGGATGACCCTGGGAGGCTGGAAATAGTATCTTCTCCAGGCACAGAAAGGTTAAGCCATTTGCCCAAAGTTGCACAGCCACAAGCAGACAGGTGAATCTGAAGGCCCCTTCCTCACCCCAATATCCATGCCTGGCAGGGCCCTCCACACTTTGGGGTTGAGGGACAGTGCTGAGTGGCACCTGACCCCAACGGCCCCACATAGGCCCCAGCCACAGCCAACCCCACCCCCTGGGCCCAGGTCAGTATTCTACTGCACTTCCTGTATCTCTCCTGCCCTGTTTTGGGAATACTGATTCAGAAGGTACAAAAACCAAACCAAAAAAGCGCCTAATGCAGGGTGTAAAGATCTCAAATGTCTCCTCTCTACCCACACTATCTGTGGGTCCCAGCAAGCCAGTGTGACTAAGCCATGATCCCCAAAGAGCGGCACTCTTGGGGCCGCACCCACCCCAGGAAGACAGGGCCTGGGGCCCACTGAGCCCTGACCTACGCTCTGCACCTGTGAGCTCATGGTGCTTGGTTCCAGTGGAAACAGTCCCTGGGGTCTAGCTTCAGATGGTTTCTCTGAAGCTGGCAGCACAGGGTAGAAGCCACTCAGGGGCTGAGGCCCCACCACAACAGCTCTCTGCAAGCTGGGCACGGACAAGGCCCCTGGATGCTGAATGTCAGCTCCAACTCTGCAGCAGCTGGCCTTGAAGGGGCCGCCCTGGCCAACTGCCCAACAGCTGAGTTTGAGGCTGATGAGTTCACTTTTGGCCTAAATAAACAGAAAGGTACAGAGATGTCACCGACTGCTTCAGGAATGCCCCAACCTGTGGGGCCTTTCGTAATAGAGACCCTTACGGCCCAGGGCTCACCAGATGGGGGATGAAAGCACAGAGCTTAGTGTGAAAGTGGCTGAGCCATGCCTTGCCCATGTGGGGGCACCTTGCTACAGTCATAGGACCTGAGATGAGAGCACCAGGTGGGCGGGGACACCACAGAATGGGGAGGGACCTCCCCACCTGAGCACAGAAATGCCTTGCCTGTATGCCATGGGGAGATTATCTCAGACCACCTGGGCTAGAACATGGAGCATAGAAGTCTTTTCCTAGGTTTGGGCCATGTTTTAAGTGAACATTTTGTCCAAGTGTAACAGATCCTGAAGACCCACAGCGCGTGTGATAGCAATGAATGCTCAGGACAGCCACGCCCTGGCTCTTGTCACTGGAAGTTAGGTTTGCCTTTGAACTTCACCCAAATAAAAATATATACTCTGGGCTTTTGCAGGGTTTAACTCATCCACCTGCTGCAGGGCAGAGTCTACTCAGCCTCGTGTCTAGATAGAGCACAGAGAGGACAGAACACAAGTTGTTAATAAATTCTACTGTTAATAGACATCTGGGTTGTTTCTAGGCTTGGGTTATATCAAATAGAAGAAAATGAACATTCTTATGCACGTCTCCTAGTGCAGGTGACACACACTCCTGCAGGCCCAGGAATTGCTGGGTCACATTCTATTCGTGTGGATGTTACCAGCTGTTCATGCACCACCAGGAACTACGCACCCTCCCGCTGCTGCACAAGTCAGCACGGGCTGTGACTGTGAGCAGGACTGCTGACATTCTAGGCGTGCACAGGGGGTCCAGGCGCGGGTTTGACTCAAGTCCCCGCAGCTGAGCACCTTCTCACAGTCAACTGGCCACTGGATGGCGCTGTTTACACCTCTCAAGTCTTCTGGCAGCTTTTAGGATGGGCTCTGTTTTTCTTGTTGGTCTGCAGTTATTTACGGACTCCAGAAACAAGTTCCATGCTGGGTGTATATGGGTGTATTGCAAATGTCTGCTTCCACCTGTGGGTCTCCTTCTCATTCTCTTAATGCCCACATTTACAAGGAGAGGTGCTTAACTGTGCCTCAGCCTAACTCACGGGTCCTTTCCTTTATGATAACTACTTTTTTTTGATAACTGTATTTTAAGTGTTATACAAGAAATCTTTTCTTACCCAGAGGTAGACATTTTCCTATGTTTGTCTAGAAGCTACATTATTTTACACTTCACATTTAAACCTATACTCTATCTCAGTGGTTCTCAAGCTTTCTAATGCTGCAATCCTTTAATACAGTTCCTATGGGTTGAGACTTACAGGTTGAGAACCTTGGGTCTATTTAAAATTAACTTTTATGTATGGTGTTAGGCAGAAGTGGACACCATTCATAATACCCCACACTGACAGCCAGTGACACCCAAACCTCCTACTAAAGGCACTTTCTCTGTGCTGTTGTATCACTGTTGGATAAGTCAAGGGCTGGGTGTGGTGGTGCCGGTAGCCCCAGCACTTTGGGAGGCCAGGGTGGAAGGATGGATTGGGCCCAGGCCTTTAGAGTGCCACTGCACCCTAGTCTGCATGATGTTGTGGGGACAGGCCCAGGAGCGGCTGGACGGGTAAAGTGCAGCTAAGGTCTCTGGGCCAGTGCAGAGCCTGCAAGGAGGATGGTATCTCTGGGGAATATGGGGCAGGGGACAGTGCTATGGCCACCCTGCTGGCTGATCCCCTGTCCTGCTCCCACCACTTTCAGGGGCCACCCGACTACCCACCCTCCCCACTCCAAACCCATTTTCCCCTCCTGCTGTCATGTGACCTTTGGGGACGCAGGCGTGCAGAGAAGCCAGCCAGGAAGGATGGCACTGGCAGGTACACAGAGCCCCGAGGAGGCCGGGCTGCTTGGTCATGCAAGCGCATCTGCCATCCTGCAACCCACACATCTGGGAGGCGCAGCAAAAGACAAGCGGCACTCAGCTGTCTTAGGACCCTGGCTGTGGACAGCCAGCCGGACTCGTGCAGGAAGGAAAGGAGCGTCAATGGTCAACGGGTGATGCTGTTGACCTCCCTGGCCTATTCCTGCATCCTTATGCAAACTTTATCTACATGACCCTGAAGTCCACCGTGGACTTCTCCACAGGAGAAGGCTAGGTAGGGTGGGAGGTGGTTCTAGACAGTGCCCATGGGGTTGCAGCAGCTCTCCACTAGTGAAGCCCTTGGCTGCGGCTCCAGGGCAGCTGGCCTTGGTGCACCCTCTGACCTCAGGGCACTCTCCCTCCCCTAAAAGCACTTGGCCATAGCCGAAGGTCAGCACAGCCAAAAAGGCCCTGATGGCTTCACATGGGTACACTTAGTTGAAGGGTCTTTGCCAATGTCCATGTGTGGAAACCGAGGCACAGAGAAGTTAATGACACGCATAGGCCCAACAGCTAACATGGGGGGGGCTGGGTCAGAGCCCCCACCTGGCCCAGGCTTGGACCCTAATTGCTGGGGTCTGTGGAGAGCAGGCACTGTGGCTGGGCAGCAAAATCGCCTCTTCAGGGCTGCGAGACCAGGCATATGGACACGTGGGCTGGCTGGGCAGGATAGGGGGCCAGGTGGGGACACCCAAGCAGCACCTTCACAGGGGCTGGGGTGTAGGCAGGCACAGCAGGGGGGACAATGGTAGGGCCAAGGAGCTTACAGGGCTGCTGGGAGGAGGGTTTGGGTAGAAAATGGCAAAGCAGATGGGAGAAGTGGGAAGGGTCAGTGGACCTGGTCCCCCATGGCT